TTCCCCATGGCAACGTTTTCGAGCCCCAATGCTGTGTGCAGAGTGTGCAACAAATTTATATATTGTAAGCTCAAATCAAGTATTATATTATGTTGCCTTTGGTGAATACAATAGCGATACTGGACAATCACAAACACAATAGTTTATACACGAGTCGTTTTGGAACGTATGTTGGAATGGCAGACAATGTGTAACCGGTACGTGGTACCTCACTGCATGGTTTCGTTGACATGAAACACAACGTAAACTATTAACATACAATACTTACGAGTAGCATAAACTTCCACTTCACATAGGTTTAGGTAGTCTTGCCTATTTTCAATCTGTACGCTGACATATCGACCGATGAGTGGTTGTGAGCAAATCAAAACCACAACTGGTTTCTCGGACGACACTATGTCTTCCATAGAAACATTGCCGCATATTTCGCCGGTCACTAATACTTCGATATCGGCAGCAACTCTCACTACCGCTCCCGATAACCTCTCACCTTAAGAAGTGATATGAAAAAAATATGACAGAATATATCTTGAACAACTCATTCTGATCTAACGTTCACATGTGTCTTTGTCTTCATGCAGATTGTTACCTGGCTACGGTTGTAGTTATATGAAAAGTGTGATTGCTACAGGTAACTGGTAGTATTATTACTCCTAAATATACGTTAACTTTGAAATTATCGGCCATTTTTGAGGCTGACCATGACTGTGGCATTTGCATTCATATATCCGTGCGATTACTAGATATTTATTTTCATTTTTATTTAAAAACGCCATCTCAAAATGAAAATTATTGGGTAAATAATAATATGACATGGTTCAAAAATGTATAGAAAGCATTTTCTTCTTAAATAAATTGTTTTGCTGGAATATTTTTACATGCTAGATCTATATGGCATATATAAATATTCCAGTGATTTTGATTGGTGACAACGGTCAGCGAACGCCATAGGGTACGATACACCCACGCCCCAAGCCCCATGTCACTGTGTCTTCGCAATTTAACATTCTGAATTGGTGCCGAATTTATCGAACTTTAATTTAGCAGACTTTAAATCTCTTAAAAAGCAAGTTAAATCATCTACAAATGATGAACATTTCATTTCTGAATCAACGCCTCGAATATTCATTCTAATAACAAACTTGCTTTATTTAAGTTGTGTCAGAAAATCGAAAGTGCAATAATAAAAAAGGGAAAGGGAGACAGAGCCCCCTGTCTGACACACCACCCTGAATCAGAATACATAGTACCTAGACCACTGTTCATCACTGCTCGGATTTTTTTAATTGCCGGTGATCGTCGCGCAACGTGTGTTCTGAATTTATGTAGACAATGTTTTTTACACGCGACGTCCACCATCATTTTAGTGTTTAGACCCGGCCCTGTAAAGATTTTTCAAAAATGAATTAATTTAATTGCATGAAACATATATTTTCATTCTAAACTATGAAATGTGTTCTGGTTGGTTATTATCTTTTGTGAATTGCATTATTCTTTAATATATTATTTATTCAACGAAATTGAGTCACCATTGGGTCTGTGTTTAGTAGTTTTATATTCACAAATTATTTGGAACAACACCTTAACCACACTGTATTAGGTAGGATGATTGGTCGTCCGTTTGACTTCCCCCTTTCTTGCAATAAATGAGATGACCCCCCTGAATATTCGAAAATCGTTGCCAGAGAGTATACACCACAATATGTTGAAAATTTAAATAATAACACATGTTTGTGAGGGCAATATCACGTTTTCGGTGAGGGCATCATACATATTCCGGTGATGACAAAGACAAAGAATCATCACGGGCTTTGGCGATTATCTGCATTTATATTGAAAGCTATACTCACTGCAGCAATCATCTCTGTTCACGATCGTTACATGATATATTGTATACGACTTAGTTAAATCTACCAGCCACCATGGTTCATTGTCAAGTTCAGTATGCGTACAGCTATGTTGCCAAAAACTAGGACTTTTGATACCATCCACTGCAAGGGGTGCCGGTCCTTTGTTCATTTCACTGCTCTGATTGGTAGGTTTATTCAACGCTGCATTCATGAGCCAAACAGCTGGTAAAGTAAGTCAAAAAAGGGTGATAAAAAGTCGTTTGTTAGACTACGCACATGTCACCTGTAATATATGTGAAGTACGCAATATATACGAGTGATCATATATAACTACATACTGCCTATTTAAGAGACTGTGATTTGCTTAATCTTGTGTAAATTGTAAACAGGTTACGGTTGGATTAACTGTAATACTTTATTCAGTACTTTATTCGACAAGTTTTGTATAAGATCAATTGCGTGACGTCACCATGAATCACAGAATAATGGATCGCAAAAGGTGAGAATGTGTTCTAGGGATGCACAATATATTGAAATGTTAACTCTAGATGTTGAGAACATAAAGACAAAAAAAATGCATGCGAACGTAAAAGTGTGGCTACATATCTGCATCGATGTGATGTTTAATATAGTATTACCTGACGCAATGATTTGTACTTCGCACAACACCAACTCTGAATCACGTCCAGGAATACTAACACTCACGTATCTGCCAATAATACCATTGCAGTTACGTGTAACAACACTGTAATTTGTCGCATCTGTGATAGATTCACCGCACTGCTGGTTCAGACTGTAGTTACCAGCGTCGTAACCAATCCGTAGTTCACCGCCATCCAGTTCACCAACTGAAAACAAAATATTTATTTATTTATTTATTTATTTATTTATTTATTTATTTATTTATTTATTTATTTATTTATTTATTTATTTATTTATTTATTTATTTATTTACGCGTTCAAGTTAGACATGACATTGCGATTCATTATTAGAACAGATCTAAAAAGATATTTTGCGGAGGTGATATAATGTCAATCCGGTATTTGTCATATTAATGGTGGAATTCTTTATTCTGTTTTTTATACTTCCACTGCTGAACAAATAATAGTGTTTTACATCTTCGCATGAGGACACGTACAAAATGTCATCTGGAGTTTCTCACATTGGTATTGCAAAAATTGAAACTTTGCTCATTAGAACGCATTTAAAAAGTTTACGATAAAGTTGTCTTTATCAACTTTACAACATTCATGAATTATGAATTGATTTATAAACGTGATAATACTAACTCCTACTCACTGGCGTAATTAATACTTTGATATAAATGCACTTGGTGTATCTTGTACGAATCACCGAGATCCACTTGCCACCATGGTTCGTACTGCTGTCTCGTAGTTGAACAACTGTGAAGTCCAATATATGTCTCCGTGTAACCATCCACCGCCTTTTCAGGACCGTATCTCCCGTCACTGCTTTGCTGGCTCGGTTTTCCCAACGCCACGTTTGGGTATTCCGAAACTTGATGAAAAGCAAACGAATGGTGAAAATTGTGTAGTTGTTTGTTGGTGATTCACTAGACTTACTTCAATTCGGACTTAACGCATTGCATTTATTTAATAATATGAGGTTATTACCAGGATACCTCAAAGTATGCACAAGATAGTACAGCTGGAGTATCGATCGACGCGCAGCGTACTGCGTACTGTCTGAGTGCATACCTTGAGGTATCCTCGTAATTACCTTATTATTATACATCTTTTCCTTCGACGGAAATGCTGAAATCCAAAATGTTTAGAATCAGCGAACTGCTTTGTGTGGAGTCCGGTCAAACTCTGGTAGCAGCCATGTGTTCCATGTTTGGAATTCGCATTTCTTAATATGGTAGGATGAAAATACCCCGTAAAATACCGCAAAATTACGACACGCTGTAACTTATGGCGTCACGGTGACACATGTATAATATAAATCGTAAATTACAGTAAACAAAATATACAATGCAATTATACTAGGAATGATCTAGTTTGCAAGGTGCACGGCATTCAAACCGTGCGATATTTTTAAACCAACTTACCACAAAAGTTATTTATTTCATCCGTCCCATCAGCGCAGTCGATAACGTCATCACAGAGAAAGGCATTCGGTATGCAACGCCCAGTAGACGCACATGTAAACTCATTTGACTTGCACTCTGAAAATTCAATTTATTGATACAGTGTAGTAATTTGTAATTTTAACATTAAGAGTGTTGAACCAGTGGAATAGTTTAATAGAACATGTTCATTGTTTTTCACATAAGAATACCAGTAAATCAAATATCATTCGCCTGAGGTGATGATGTTACAATGTGTGCTACAAATGTTAAAAAGACGTTTCACTTTCTGTGATTTCTAAAAACACCTAGTAAGCGAATTATGTACAAAATGTTTATACTAATTTGAAAATATCTTCAGCAAAAAACATTATCTTCAGTTTCATTCTCACCACAATTATCTTCATCTTCACCTCCGTAACAGTGTTTCTTTGTATCACAAACCAGATCTTCGTCAATGCAGTATCCATTGTTACTTCCACTTTCACATTTAAATTGTCCATCTCCACATTCAGCTGTCGACATAGATATAAATAAATGAGTTCTCTCATAATGTTCTATCGATATAAATGATTTTAGCGGTTTATGAATACGATTGCATTCGTTACTTATTACGCTCATTAAATAATTTTAATTTATTCAGACACTTGGGATTTGGGCAAATGAATGATTTCTCTGGAGCTAAAATTCTTAGCAAACGTTCAGCATCTTTGTTGGGAAGTTATTATTTAAATTATTAATTTACAAATTTTCAAAGTAAATTAAAACAAGCAATATGTCAATCACATAGCGTGATGAATAAAATAACAACATATATTTAGACTTAGTGTCACTTTAATAGTGGACAAAAATAAGATATATATTCGCTCTGAATAGAAATTAAGACAGTGTCTATCAAAACGATCTGAAAAGTAATTTTCAAGTAGGAGCATAATAAGCCATGTGTTTGTTTTACAGTTTTCCCACGACATATCGAACTGTTGATCAAAAGAAATAATACAATTTCTTACCATAGGTACAATGTAATTCATCGCTCATATCTAGACAATGGTTGACTCCATCACACTCCAAGTATTTTCTGATGCAGTATATGCCATTGGCACATATAAAGTCCTCTTCGATAGAACACACACCTGTGGTAATGAATGCCATAATAACAATGGGGTTCAAGGGCAGCAACCTCTCCCTCCGAAACGTCACCTTCGGTCAACAACATAACACAATGAACAGTGTAATAATAAAATTATGTTTGAATATCACATTAAACATATTCAATTTAATATTTGAGTTGAGCGAACAATTGAAAACTAGGATGAATAAGCCAAACTATTGACTTAATCCACTGTAATCCAATCAATTGTATCTCAGTAGTTGAAACTGTTTATGTGGCTTTCCGCGCCATCTACACCAATATCTTGAATTTTTCGGCTAATAACATTGTTTTTACAATAATAATAATGATGAAAATGATGTGTTACTACTATTATATCAGTAATATAGTTACCATAGTGAGGTAACACTAATGGACTGTCCACGATTAGCATCTCTCTATATCGGGATTTCAGTAGTGCACTTCGTCTTAGTTTATTCGTATTACATACGGTGATGCTTGGAAAAGGTCTCTCTGTGGCACTCACCAAGGCTACCTGTAAACTCGCAAATACGACCATAAGAAGACGAATTAGTTAACTCGTTACAAATCAAAAGTTTCGCATTGTTTGTTGTACCTATGTCAACTGTGATTGACGCCTAGTACACTTTTTCATATGACATGGTATTTCAGGATTGAAAATGTATATGCTAATCGCTAAACTAAACTCATAACAGACGAAATGGACATGTTATTTTGTAGTACAGCAGCCACAGCAGTTAATATGATGAACGATTTATTTTGTAGATTATATATAATACAGACAACGATTTACATCATCTCATTAAATAATACCTTCGTATTCACGTTAAACTCCATATACTGTATGATTAGCATCAAGGTCTGCGTTATGAATGCCGTGGCTGCAGCCAGAAGAATGATCGTCCAAGCCAGCCTGGAAGACCAAGAGACCGACGAGACGACATGAGATAAGCCATGGGCTGTAGTGCTATTGGCAAAGTTTTTCACTATGCCGTACCAGTGTTCTGTCTCACCATCGGCCTGCTGGAGCTTGTTTTCATTCTTCGCACCCTCGAGGTGTTGGCTGTTATCTTCACTCAATGAAATATCTTTTTCATTTTCAGAGTTTGTCCGTCCCGACTTGTCTTGGGAAAACGTTGATAAAGTGAAAGCGTCATTGTCGCCCACGTCCGGTCTACGTAAACAAGAACACGAAGGTATACGTTTACCGTGAGACATTTGAACGGCTTTTGGTAGACAAACTATTTCCGATTATTGCTTTATAAAAATGTCGTTTCATCAACAATTAAGATGTAAATGTAGTTTTATGAAAACTTACTACATACTGTAAAAACGTCAAAAATCCACCACGAGTAGACAAACTAAACAAACTTCCAATTACTGAGAAAAGTGCGAAATGCATTTTTCCCAAGCGCTGTGCAACATTTGCAAGGCTATAAATAACAAATGTAAAATATACCTTCACTATGAAAGGGTAACCGGAATCTCCATATAATTTATTTGAAAATAAAATATACAAAATTTTAAAATATAACGACCTGTTTATGTGAAAATTACAGCCACTCTACCATAAGTGACTATACAATACGTCGTACTTGAATGAGTATGCAAATTTGCATTTTACAGTTTTACACCTGAAACTTGAATAGCTCCTAGGATTGTTTTCACTGTGTCACTTTCACAACATGTCTAACTACAAAACATAATTTTAATGGTTACGATCGCTCAGAAACGTGTACTGCATCGTTATCTTAATTGCGGTTTTTAATGATAGTTTAATGTACAATAGAATCATATATCAGTTTCACCCGTGACATGTTATTGGAAATATGTAAAATGCGATATTCGATACAAATACTCACGAAACTATTATTTGTAGTGTAAAATGCATTGACAGATTTTATCCCAGAAATTGTTTTTCAACGATTTGGAAATCGGTGCGACTCATCTGTTATTTACTGGTGTATTTACTAGTAAATTTACATTTACTAATTTCAAACGAAGCTCGTATTATTTCAAACTGATGCATTTTCTAGCAGCGAGATTCGCGCATCGTGCACATTCATGTCAAAAGAAGACACACCCTATCACATCGTGCCTGTTGTACATGCACATTTAAGCTGAGGTAACCTCAAAATGTTCATTTCATGACAGTGTGAGTAAAGCTTAGTGCGGACGAAATACATTTGTAAGTAATCTACATCGGTGTAGCATTCACGACATGTATAGTCACCTCATACATAGCGTCAAATCATTGAAAAACATGATGAACTGACGTCACCCACCTGGTTGTGGATTTCCCTTTTCTCGTAGTCCCTCCACTGTACCAGTTAAATAACCACGATGAACGGTATTGCGCTCCTCTCCATTTACTTTCCATACTTAGCGAATTCGCGGCAATAGATTAACGACATGGAAGTTTGCCAGATCAAATAATTAGTCAAAGACACGTGACAAATCAACTGCAATCTGATATGTGTATGAGAATGGATTACGTCACCCGTCGAGGTACCAGCATATATCAACGCTACCCTACGCTAACCCTCGTGGTATTCAGTAACGATGCGACAAATTAACATATTTTATTTTGGGAGAATATGCTTTTAGGTGAACTCACGAACAAGGAATTTAAAATCCCGATTGACCTACAATTTAATAAATAGTCTTCATTGTATTTAGCGTTCCATGATTGTCCTTGTATCACTAAGACAATCAAATGAACGACTCAGCGGATGATTAGTTGTATAGATCAATATACGCAAATCTGCATAATTAGGTCAATAGACAAAGATTTGCATAATTAGGTAAATAGACAAACATCTACATAGTTTAATCAATAAACAAATAGTTGTATGGGTGAAGTCGACATTTTGACGTGTTTCAAATGCTACATTCAGTTTCATGATATTTTGTTATTTTCGTAATATAAATGAAAACAACCTTCAAAGTACGTGACAGTCTATTTTTATTTACATCATAGTTAATACCCACCTCTGGCGACGTCACCATCTCTACTCACATTTCACAGTACCATCATGTCTTATGCGCTACCCGCATTTCTATACTTCAAACTTGTCAATAATTGTCGGATCGAGGTTGGGATTTTTTTTTCATTTTTTTTTCTAATGATAACAACCAAACATTTTTGAAAAGTATTGCACCACAATGCTAATTCTGTGGCATATGTCAATAACTTGTTAGTAGATCGAACAGATTTTATACTGTAAAAATTATCATGAAAGTCATTATATTTTCTTTTCATTTTAATAAAGACGAAATTATATAATGACACACAACTGATATTGTATTTATTTCGGGGGTTTCCTTTTACACGGAAATTAAACAATTATGTCGATAATAATTACGCATATATTATTATAATTACATTTTTCATAAAACTAATAAAGCCGGGGAGCTTACTTCATATCGCTTTCATTCTATCAATGACAAAGCAGCCTGGTGATGTATGCAAGAATTGGTTAGGTGTATTATTAATTGAATAACAAATGCGGCAAAACGCATTGAACAATTTATATAATTACCTTGAGCTAATAAGCAGGCAATAATGATATCGAAGACTGTGTCAAACTATGGTGGTGAATATTGAAGGTGCACTTTGAATTAATCGTCTGGACAGTTGATAGTTTACTGCTATGTAGAATACATCACATTGCAGACAATACCAGACCATTTTACTAGGAACCGGTTTTGATCTTTCATTTTACACAGACACGGAATAATAAACAATCAGTATTGTAACGAAACAAGTAATACATTTTTAAAACGGTTAATTAGTGATATAATTACAAATTACTAAATTACTAATGTATTAAACGTGGTTTACAATTGATGTGACAAGCCAATATGATAGTTTTGGAATAGTGACGGTTTTAACGACAATACGACAATATCTTAAAATGTATATAGCATATGTAAGAAGCCCGTTATTGGATCTCAGAATTCGTCAAATGTGTATACTAAATAATAATTTCGCAACTTACTGCTACTCAAAATTTATTCTATTCTATTCTATTCTTCTATTCTATTCTATTCTATTCTATTCTATTCTATTCTATTCTATTCTATTCTATTCTATTCTATTCTATTCTATTCTATTCTATTCTATTCTATTCTATTCAATTTGTGTAGTTTTCTTGATTTATTCTGCAGATATCGGTAAAATGTAGGTAAGGCTTTGGCGAAATTCGAAGGAGCAACTAATATTCTTCAACCTGGTATTTTTTTAGATTTTATTTTTTATTTTTTTCGTCTGTTTTTTCGAGTTTAAAAATGTGAGCTGGCTGGAGCCTTCATCCCTTGTCTATTTCTTACACTAGATACCAGCCGATACCCCTCCCCCCCCCCCTCATAGAGACTGCTTATTACAGTTGATTATAGTTCCTGGGCTCCCTGTGGCTGTATCGCCTCGACATCCAAGCCAACACAGCTTTAGCTGTGCTCAGCGACATTTATTCTCGGGTCAGGCATTTTCACCGCCTGGCAACCATCATTGTGAAACAAAGGCCAATAAATTCTCAGAAAACGGTATTTTGGGATGGTTGTTGTCACCCCCTACATATGCAACATATTTAAATTTGGTTGGGTTTCTTCAAAGTTAAGTTTGTGCTGTTTTCTCGATTTTAGCTATTTTCACCGGCTTTTTGATCAGTGCACAGCAGCTCGCGCAGAGTCCATAGAAATATATGATAGAGTGATGCGCGTCTTAAATAGCAACGTGGAGCGGTGAATTAGCTCCGCCTCGAAGATTTTGATAGCTTGGCCAAGCGCGTTGAAGAAAGAAGTTATATGATTGGCTGTTGTTAAACTGATTTTAAACTGTGGGGGCATTGTCACATACACATAGTCCAAATGAAATACTTCAAGGTGACAGTGGAGTGCTTCGCCGGAACATTCACCTTGAAAATTCAAGATGCCTATAACCATACACAATGGTGACACAAGAAAAACGCATTACATTTTACGAAACGGATACGACCTTCGCGGCCCGAGGTCGTATGACGGAAGCGCCCAAGCTTATCATATAAGGTTATAGGCCTCATTAAATATAAATGTAATTGCTCCAAGCTACTGGTGTTTCAGTATTTCGCTTATTAATTTTAAATTAATGTTATTTTTTCTCTGACACAACGCCAACAACAATACGCTATTCTTCCGAACCAGAACCCCGATCAGAGCGCGTACTCTCGTTAGATTTCAGCTACCTGACGCAAAGCAATGTACCAATGGCAGACGAGAACCAGTTCGCATTGCGCGCCGTTTTAAATGACTTGAAGGTATATGTATGTCCAAATATAGTCAAATAGGGCCGGGCATGATATGGTCACGGCTCACTCATCGGCTGGTTTCTCATGTCGTCACGAGGCCGGACAATAAAATATAGTATTTTATTATTATGTCTTTTTGAGATGAAACGATCACCGCACATATACAGTCATCGTTTTTCATTGAACCTATACAACCGATAAAATATAAATATGAATGTATATATATAAACAGTATAAATCATCGTATAACCAAATTGTAATATTGAAAAGTGACATGGTGGTCAAAATAATATTTTACATACCCAATATCCTCGGATGAAATGATTTTCTCGATAGCATTTAGTATAATAGTTTGCGTAATGTCCACGCTATTTATGTTTACCCTGGGTATATTCATATGACGCTGGTAACACTGCTGGTTGTTGACATTGCGTGATGGACATCAGAGTCATTAATCTCATAATTATATAGCATTATATAGCTGACAATATCTTGATGAGTAATTATATTGCGAACGTCTAGGTCTGTTGATCACCACTGGGGCAGTTATGTTGTAGCAAATATCATAGATCGGATGATACGTTATCTATCAGTTATATATCGAGATGACGATCTATCCTTAACTGTGAAGACATTTTTTTTTTAATTCGATTTAAAGTACTGATGTAAATAAATGGTTATTTGATGAAAACTTTTAACATTTTTTTGCAAACTTTATGCTTCAGCGGAAAGGATGTTGAATATTAATCGATATATAATATACTCTATAATTGAATTATAGGAAACTCTAGTATTTTCTTTCTTATGATGTGATGTTGAATCTTTTTACGCTTGTTTGCGTAACGGCCCCACTTTCTGTGCTAAATTTAAATTACAATACGTTATTAAACAAAGCATAAGGTAAACAACGTGCGAACTCGCAATTTGCGAGAC